AGTACCACACTTGGCACAGATTTGCTTTTGAAAGCTCAGAAAAATTTCTTCTTACTTTTATGTATTAATTATTCGTAGTGCTTATCTTCATATCAGCTCAGTGGTACTGACCAGAGTCACCCTTGGAAATTAATTGCCGGGGCTGGGGATTTAGCTCAGCGGCATAAGCGCCTGCCTTGCAAGCAGGCAGTGGTGAGTTTGATCCCTGGTACTGATAAAAAGGAAAAAAGACAAAAAAAAAAAAAAAAAAGAAAGAAAAAGAAAAAGAAATTAATTGCCTTGAAATGTTAGAACCAAAACTGAAAAGGTTTCTTTGTCAAGTAGGGCTTACAAAGCGAGATCAGTTTACACAGTTCCATCTTGATTTGAATTTAAGCAAGTCATTGTTTGCAGAGCAGCACATTTAGAACCAAATGAGTTTCTTGTTTGACAGTTTTTTAATGATAAATTGGACTTCATTAATATAGAAAAAACCTGCACATCTAGACACCATTAACAACATTAAAAATAAGCCACAGAATAGGAGAAAATATTTGTAATGCATAAATATACTAAGGAATTCCAGAAAACATATGGAATTCTTATAACTGAACAATAAGTCATGCAATTCAGTTTTTAAAATGGGAAAAAGATTTGCACATAGAAATATAAAATGGCTTAAAAATTTTAGAAAAATATGACAGTTCTTTAAAAAATTAAATTTACTGTAAAAACCAGAATGTCTCTCCAAGAGAAATAAAAACTTATATACCAAAAAGATTTATACACAGATATCCATAATGCCATAATTCATATTTCAAAGTATGTTGAAAAATTACACACCAATAAAAACAACTCCTTTTTTTTTTGTCTTTTTTGAGACAGGGTTTTACTATGCAGCTCATTGTGTAGGCCAGGCTGGCCTCAAACTTGCAACAATTCTCCTGTCTCAGTCTCTCTGAGTGCTGGGATTACAGATGTAACAACTCCTGATAAACACAGTAAAGTAGAAAAAGTTCCAAAAACATAGAGTGAGAGAAATGAAACATAAGAGTGCATACTAAATAAGTCCTTTTATATCATTCTAGAAAATGTAGGCAAATCTATAATGATGAAAAAGTATATTGGCGAAGGCTAGTGGTAGCGATGGAGGCAAGGAAGAATCTTTTTGTACAAAAGAAATTATTTTGTGTTTGATTGTAGAGTTGGTTGCATGTGTCTTGCAAAGTCATGGATTCTAAAGTGTAAATAGATACAATTTATTGTATTTTGGTTATATTTCAATGAGGCCAATTTAAGAAAAGAAATCCTTACAAGAAAGAAAGAATTTATTGACAAAAAGTATAAATGGTAGTTGGAGATGTGTGTTGGAAAGGTCTGTTAAACCCATGAATCACTGTTTCTGTCAGCATTATAATAGAAGACAGAATTAATTTTAAATCTCCAGTGTCAAAAAAAAGAAAATATGTTGATGATTATAACCAATTGATTTTTCAAGGAATTAGAATATATGAAGGTTAACGACTTCAATGAATTATTTACAGGTAAATGTTTCCAAAATGTATTTTAAAAAATCTTTCTTTGACAATTTTTTATCAAAGATTTTACTGAACTCCAAATTCAAAAGAAAGCATTGCCCATATAATTTAGAAATAATTTTTATGTATCCATTAAGAAATTTAAACAAAAAAAGTTCTAAAGAGGTGGCAGACTTTGGTGACACTTCACCCCTAAATACTTAAATGTGTCCCCATGAAATAAGAATAGTTTTATTTAAAAATCAGTACTATTTAGCCACTCCAGAAAGCTAAGACCATATATACAGTCTGTTTTTCCAGTTTTCTGATTCTCTCTACAATATTTTTTTTACTTTTTTTTTTTTTTGTCTTTTTCGTTTTTATCAGTACCGGGGATCGAACTCACGACTGCCTGCTTGCAAGGCAGGCGCTTATGCCACTGAGCTAAATCCCCAGCCCCTTACAATATTGTTTTGTAATGTTTTGTCTCCCTAATTATGGGTCCAACCAAGGTTCACCCATTACATGTGATTCCTTTTTTTTTGAGAGGGGGGTACTGGGAATCAAGCTCTGAACCTCACACTATGCTGCCGAGCTATATCCCTGGCCCCCATACTTGATTCCTTTAATCTAGAACGAACAACAGTATCACCCCTCCCCTTGATCCTATTAACATTTTTTGAAGCATCTAGATGAGTTGTCTTGCAGAATGCTTCATAATCTAATACTGTGTTTTGTTTTTTGTTTCTTATATTTTATGACTTTGTTTGTTTGAGACAGGATTTTGCTGTATAGTTCAATTTGATCTGGAACTCACTGTATATCCCAGATCAGCCTCAAACACCTGGCAATCCTCCTGCCTCAGTCTCCTCAGTACTGAGGCTAAGATATGTGCCATCGTGCTAGGTTTTTTTTTGGTCTTTTTCCTTTTTATTGGTACCGGGGATCGCACTCACGACTACCTGCTTGCAAGCCAGGCGCTTATGCTGCTGAGCTAAATCCCCAGCCCCCAGGTTTTTCTTCTTGATTAGTAGCCAGTAAACTGTTTTTGATAGAAATATATCATATAGGCGATCCATAGTTCCCATTATGTCATGTCTAGAGGTACAGCAATACAAGTTGTCTCATTATTGGTGTTGAAGTTCAGTTATGCACATCACTTGGTAAACAGCTACGGATTAGATCACTTCACTGGGAAGGTCTGTTTTCTTTCTTTTTTTTTTTTAATTTTTTTTTTTTTTTTCGTCTTTTTCTTTTTCCATTCCCTTTTTAAAAATGGATCTTGCTAAATTGCTCAGGCTGACCTGAAAATTGTAATGCTCCAGCCTCAACCTTCTGCGCAGCTGGGATGGCAGGCACCCACCACTGGACCCAACCTCCTTTTTTCTTTTTTTTTAAATATGTAGTAATCTATAGGATGATACTCTGAGAAGGTGTGGCTGTGTTTTTTTCCATGAACTTTCACCTGATAGCTTTAATTTGCTCAATGCTTTGAATTTTTCTAGAGGTCTTTTAATGGATTTTAGTGTATCTGTGAAACTCTGGAAAGTATTTTTGCATGCATGTGTTTTCCATGGCCCCCAAAATATTTAGATGATTTTTTTCCTCTGTTATTGTGGTGCCTTCTATAAGTTTCAGTGCATCAGAAAAATGTGTCATAAATGTTGGGTTTCTAGGAGCTGAGAACCAGTCTTGTTCATCTAATTTTCTTGTTTCATTGTGTAGAGGCATCTGCTTAATTTTTGTTATTTGTTTGAGAATGATTTGTTCTGGCCTTTCATTATTTTGAGCCTATTTGAACCTTCCATGTTTAGTATAAATGGTCCTAGAAAGTAAATCAGAAGAGATTAGCCCCTTGGATTTTGGTGATCTCTTTGAAAATTCTTGGGCACAAGCAATTTGATTTGTGTCTTTGTTGACACTGAAGTAAACATAGGTCATTTGAAAATGACTTAAAACACTACAGTATGTTTGTAAAACAGATAAGGTATAGCATTAGCACTGTCGTGTAGACTGTAGACAGAGGGCCTAGGTGGTGACTCAATGGAACCTTAAATCTATTATTAGCATAATATAGAATACCTTTACAAGTGGGTTAGTTTTTTATTTTCCCTGGTCAACCAGGGAGCAGTGTAGAATTAATCATGTGAGTGACCGGGTGTGTTTGTTTAGCCTACTGATTAGCTTGTGGCTAACATCAGTTTTCTTTGCATGAAAAAGTGTCCATCAGGTGACTGACAAGAACACAAACTAATTTTTATAAATAGTATACTTACTTTAAAAGTACCTAGTAAATCATTTAATCCAGATGACCTGTGAAAGTGTATGTGTGTGTAAATTTTTTTTTTTTTTTGTACCAGGAATTGAACTCAGGACCTTGTGCTTGCCAGGCAGGTGCTCATGCTGCTGAGCTATATCCCTAGTCCTCTAAAATTAGGTATTTTTATTGTAATTACACAGTTATGGAATAAAGACTTGAAGATGTTAAAGCAGCCAATAGCAAACAGTTCATAAGGAGCAGAGGAAGAAACTTGAAGTTCTAAGTTTCTTGCTCTTTCTGACTTACCATTCTAAAAGGTTCAGGGATTTTAGGGAATCTGAATAGAAAACCGTGGCACTTGCTCTCAAGAACGTTTACATCTATCAAGCCTCTCTTCTATAAATAGAAGATGGGCAGCAAATGGAAGGAAGAGCAAAGGAAATACAGGAAAGGGCAAGATAGGCCACAGAGGCAGGATCAAGGTTAGTATGGTGAAGGCTGTGGAGGGAGGAGAACAGGGAGTGAGCAGAGCATGGACGGGAGAGCACAGAGCCTGCTGTAAAGAGGAGTTGGTCCCGTGTGCCTAGAGGTAGGTTAGGCCCAAACGGGGCTGCCCTGAGCACCCCTGGGAGAGCCTGCTCCACAGCTGTCCTGAGCATGAAATGAAAAACGTGGTCCCGAAGCAGACTCACTGACAAGGTCGAATGCCTGATTGTAAGACGCCAGTCTCACCACATACTGAATGTCTCTGATGCCTCACGATAATGCTAACATTGCACCTTCCTGTTTTACAAATGAGAAACTAAGGGCTCAGTGAAATAAGTGCAAAACACCAATGGCTGGAGCACGGACTCAACCTCCACCTGCCAGACTCGAGCGCCTGTGCTGTGTTCCACTGTGGGACTCTGTCACCTGATAAGTTCTTACTTTAGAGAATGTGACTTTGGAATAGAATAGTTTTAAAGTTCTGGGAGGACTGCTTCTCTCTGTGTAGCCATGTTAAGCTGCTGAACCTAACATACTGTGCTTTAATGTGGGAGCAGAGCTAGGTGAGAAATCAAGGAATCAGATGATGTTTTATTTACAAGCTCACAACATCAAAGCGACGTTATAAATGCTGTTCTTCTCATTTTCAGTGTCTAACCTGCATTGGCCCTAAGTAAACCTTAGGCGTAGTTCCCAGGGGCATTTAATATGCATAAGAAGTAATATTTCCCCTAGCTAAACTGCGTTTCTCCCGGCAGGTTTCCTACTTATAAGAGACAATGACTACTGATCGAGGTGCCAAGAACAGTGGAGAAAGCCCAGCAGCCACTGTTGCTGAACAAGGAGAGGATATCACCCCCAAAAAGGACAGAGGGGTATTAAAGGTGAGGCCACAAAAGTGAATGGCACACAGGGAAATCTGCTGTCCAAATGACTGTTTATCAAGCTTTGTGTGTGGGGATGTATAATATTACTAAGGCTCACTAAGTGCCAAAAACTACAGCTAGATTCTTATTTTTTCCTCTCAACTCTGAGGTTTTCATTTTTAATTCCAATTGTAGATGCTGGTACTGAGGTGGAGCTAGTTATATTAGCAGCATACATCTTAGTAAGTGCAGACCCTGGGGTCAGGCCCAAGTGTCTCCATGGTCGCAGAGTATACAAATGAGTTACTAACCGAATATAGCATTTTTAAAGTATATTAAAGCTAGCTAATGACAATTTTAATGACTTTTAGGGGGGGGAGTTAAACGCTAAAGTTCAAAATAATTTTTAACCATTCTAATAGTGACCAGGTGTGACGATGCACCTGTAATCCCAGCACTCAGGAGGCTGAGGCAGGAGGATCACCATGAGTTCAAGCCTAGCCTGGGCTACATAAGTGAATTCAAGGCCAGCCTGCTCTACGTGGGAAAACCCTGTCTCCAAAACAAAAAACAAAATGAAACCAAAAAACCTCATAGTAATAGTGTTCTTGTGTGCAGTGAGTGTGGGCATGATCCTGTAATATCTTACTTTTGAGTACTTATTGAAACATACATATAGTTTGGTTTTTAGCTTTTATTGTGAGACCAGGGTCTCACTTTGTAGTTCAGGCTGCCCTTCCTTCTGAATGCTAGGATTATAGCCTTGTGCCTGGCAAACCTATATGTATTTTTTCAAAGTATAGTTAATCACTTTCATCTCTTTTTATTTGTGTCTCTCAGTGGTGTTGATTCTTCCATTTTGTAAGTTAATACACTGAAGCTGAGAGAGGTCAGAAGGTTTTAATCACATTATGTAGTTACTTCTCTTGCACCAGTGTAACAGACACAAGTTTTGTAGAGCTGTTTTATTTTTGCAAAGATTATTTTACATATTCTAAGTATTACTGCTAGTTTTAATACCTCCTGTGTCAGCAGTGTGAGTTTGTTTTGTCTAATCTTGCCTATGAGTGAGAAAGGGTTTCTTCTGTGCCCGTATCTCTTTTGAATGTGCATGTATTCTTGTTAGCTTGCTATGTGCCAAACCAAATTTGGGGCCCAGCAACTACAAAATAAGGGCTTTATGCCCGGTTTGTATCCTGCTCTCTCCTTCCAGCAGGGTGGTTTCCATCCTTCTAGCTATAAGGATTCATTCCAAACTCCAGGATGCTTCTGAAGACAGGCGAGATTCTGTAAGCGTCCTCAGCGTTTCCCACCTCATCTTTTCAGATTGCCCATATTCAGAGGACCAGGTCCCTGGCTTGCCTCAGACCGTGTGTCTTACTATGTTTTCTTTTGCTGTAAGACAATTCCTGTGGCTGGGTGAGTTCTAAAGACCAGAGATGTATTTGGGCCCACAGTTCTGGAGTCTGGGAAGGCCCTGTGCATCTTTTTTGCTTCTAGTGGAGGCCTCCCAGTTCATGGTGGGCAGCAGGAGAACAGGTGGGCATGTGTGGAAAAGACAGAGCACAGAGGTGAACTAGCTTTATAGCAGTTTACAGTGATTCATCCAACCCCTCTCGAGTCAGAACTCACACAAGAAAGGCATGGATCCCACTAATTACCTAATGGCTTCTTAAAGGCCCCACTTCTCAATACTGCAACAATTAACAGTCAAACTGCAGTATGGGTGAGGACAAACCATATTCAAACCATAGCGCTCTGTGTTCAAGGGACTAAATCTAATACTGAGAATATAAGGGACCTTTGAGATCACAAGCCCTTTTATTTTATTTATTTATTTTTTTGTCTTTTTCCTTTTTATTGTTACCGGGAAGAACTTACGACTGCCTGCTTGCAAGGCAGGCGCTTATGCCACTGAGCTAAATCCCCAGCCCCAAGCCCTTTTATTTTAAATTATGTTATTTATCACTACCTAGAGCTTCAGGTTCACTGTGGGGCTTTTGATTGAGATTAAAAAATAAACCTAGGGGCTGGGGATTTAGCTCAGTGGCACAAGCGCCTCCCTGGCAAGTGTGAGATTGTGAGTTTGATTCCTGGTACACATACATACATACATAAATAAGTAAAAAAATAGTTAACCATAGTGATATATGTGCACCCATGTTTATAACAGCACAATTTGTAATAGCTAAATCTTGGAAACAACCCAAATGCCCATCAACTGAGGAATGGATAAAAAAGATATGGTATTTTTATATAATGGAATACTACTCAGCCATAAAGAATGATAAACTCAGAGCTTTTATGAGTAAATGGATGCAACTAGAAACCATACTCATAAGTGAAATAAATCAGACTTGCATCTGTAAACACCATATTGTCTTGCTAGTATAAAAAACTGAAAGAGTAAATAAGATCCAAAAGTTACAATAGATATAGTGAAAGGGAAAGAAACTGCTCAAAGGGAAATTTTATTGTTTTATTTGTTTTGAAATCCTATATTGCCATTGTTTTATGGTTGTTGTCATCATTTTGCTTTTGTTATTGTTAGTTTTTTTCCAAACCTATTTTATTTAAAAGAAAAAAAACCTAAAACTAAATTTCAAAGCACACGAATCAAGGGTTGTTGTTGTTTAATTATTTGTTTGTTTCTTATTTTTCTGGGTTTTTTTCTCTTTAAAAAATAAAAAAAGACCTAGTCAGCACCTGGGAGGCTGAGGAAGGGGATTGCAACAAGTTCAAGGCCAGCCTTGGCTACATAGTGTATTCCGGGCCAGCTAGGACTATATAAAAAGACCCTGTCTCAATCAGTCAATCAATCAATCTACGAATCAAAAATAGACCTAATAACTCTATAACCTAAGGTAATGGTGGCAGACCTATGGCACATGGGATTAGCAGGATGTTTATACAATTGAAAAGTCTAAAAGGTTTCCCATCACTCACTAAGACAGTTTAGTTACCTCTGTGTGATTGTCTCCTGTTTGTAAAATTTAGAGAAATAGTACCGGTATCAGGATAGGTAAAGCCCTTGCTGCAGTGTCTGTCCTATAGTAATCTCTTTCACTATAAATCTCTTTCACCTTAAAAAAAGATCAAGGCAGGTTTGGAAAGTCAGTAACTCGCTGGGTTTACATTTGCCAAATGACCTGAGACCAGAGTCTATCTTTAAAGCTGTTTCAGATTTAGGCACACATTCATATTGTTGGGGACCCCTGAAATGATCCCCCGGGCGTGTGCTATGGCCACTGACGCCCCGGCAGCCATCCATTCTGTGTCCTCAGTTGTTGCTTACGGTGGTTTAAGTGCAGATTCTTGCTGATGACCACGCATAGGGTTCCCAAAATATCACACGCACCCATAACCACTAGTTCTTTTAGAATATCACGTGGTTTCTTTTAATGTTTTCCGGAACTTTATCTTTTGAAACCCAAGAAGGACAGCAGTGTTTTTTTTCCTTTAAAGACTATCTGGGCTTTTGAAATAAGAAAGTTGTGAAATCTTAATTTCATGGTATTTATGGGAAAGGGGGACATATCTCAGAGAAGAATTTAAAAGCAAATAATTGCATTCCATAAATAAAAACTCAAACCCTTCCCCAAAAAAGGTATTCATTGGCTAGTCACTGTTATATTGTTAGCTACTAAAAATGATGGATTTGGTCTAGCTGATTGACAGAATAAATTATACCACCATATGCCTGGATTTGATTTTCGTTTCCAAGGACTCACCAACTGCATTAGCAGTTTGCAGTGCCAAGAACAAAAAAGAAAGAAAAACCATATACTGGATTTACGATAGCCAAATATTTTTTAACTTGGACCCCCCCCCCTTTTTTTTTTTGGCATTTCCCTTGCTAGAAAATACATTACTCAGTATCATATCAAACTGTGCAGTGATACTGATGTATTTTACAGATCAACTATTTTCCAAATAAAAAGTGTAACCTGTTATACCAGGATATTAGACTTTCTCAAATTAAACCAAACTGGAACAATTGCAGACAAAAGCTACTGTTTTTAGCAAAGGAGGAACGTAAATAAAATTGCACGTTAGAGACTTTGCTTTACTTCTTATCGACTGTTTTTCCAAGTCCAATAGTCTTTTTGGCCTCGTTCCATTTGTGGGTGGACTAACCCACAAGTTTGCGTTTTGAGGGATGTTAGTGTGCATATATTATATGGCCTTAAACCAATGAAGAGGATTTGCTGGGTAATTCTTCTGGGGGAGTAGTGTAATAAGTGAAAGGAAGTAGAGGAGAGGTAACGTGAAGGACCAGCACAGGACAGCTTTCTGACAGGAAGGGTTCTGCAGGGAAGCTTGGGGCAAGGTTTAGAGAGATCAGGCTGCAGGATATCTGCCTGATCACTTGGAATGGACTGTGCTGCCTTTATGATTAAAAACGTTTCACCTCCCTCTCCCTGGCATTTATCTTTCTAGATTGTCAAGAGAGTGGGAAATAGTGAGGAAACACCAATGATTGCTGACAAAGTTTACGTCCATTACAAAGGAAAATTGTCAAATGGAAAGAAGTTTGATTCCAGCCACGATAGGAATGAACCATTTGTTTTTAGTCTTGGCAAAGGTAAGAGGGTATTTTTAATGTATTATGCTTAGATTTATTACTGTTTGTATTACATAGGAGTAACGGAACATATCCTTGCCAAAATATTTCAGAGCAGCAGTGCTCAAAGGAGGCGCACAGGCTGAGGTCTTTTTCTGGGGCATTTACGTAGTATCAGTTCTTTTCATAGTAACACCAAGATGCCATTTACCTTTTTAACCTTTTAATATACTGGTGCAGTAAGGATAATGCTAGTGCCTTCACACAAATCGAGGCAGTGATACCTGCCTGTACCAGTAATCAGGGTTCCCATGGGGGAGAAGGCTAGTTTCAATTAAAGAATGTCCTCGGTAATTAGTAGGTTACTTTATGAAGGCCAGTCCTTGTGTTTCACACGGTTTCAGTACCGTGTGAAAGACAGGCCTGCGGATAACACTTCTGCATGCCAGTGCCTGGGCGGCCTGAGGGAGAACACTGGGCACTCATTTTAGTTGAAAACGGAGCTAGCTGGCTTGTTTTGTTTAATGAAACATCATTTTTACTTGAATAGGCAAACTATCAGGCTTGATTATTCAGTAATTAGTAGGTATTTTCCTGAAAATGAAATGAGCCTGTCATTTCAAGGAAACTACTGACAGACAGTATTTGTTGAGCTTTCAACTGAAAATTACAGTTTTGAAAAACTTGTCTGCCATTGTGACATTTAAAGGGTTTTTCTAGTGAATCAATCTGTCTCAATGAATGTGATTTTTTATGTTACACAATGAAATGTATCCAATTTAGAGGATCCGTGTAACTCAGTGAAGCAGTATTTCCCAGTGACAGGTATAAGGTGTGTGAGGTTTTATGTAGATAAACAGTCCAGCCAAAATATGAGAGATTAGAGACTTTTAACATATGTGGGAAACTCACTGGTGTGATTTTATTTTTTTATTTATTTTTATTTATTTTATTTATTTATTTATTTATTTATTTATTTATTTATTTATTTTTGTCTTTTTCATTTTTATTGGTACCGGGGATTGAAGTCATGACCGCCTGCTTGCAAGGCAGGTGCTTATGCCGCTGAGCTAAACCCCCAGCCCCCACTGGTGTGATTTTAGATTCCACGTTGCAGCTGACCTTCATCATGTGTCCGCTGTTGATTATATTCACAATTAAAGTGCTTCTGCCATTCCCAGCTATCTCGTGGTGGGTTTGGATTGTTTCCTGTTTACTCCAGAACAGGAAATAGATATATTGTCGACGTAGATTTGAGACTCTGGTTTCCTTGTTAAGGCATAGTGTGCATTTGTGAGATTAGAAGATGATGCCACTCTTCTCACTACTTTTTTTTTTTTTTTTTTTTTTTTTGATGGTGCTGGAGTCAAACTCAGAGCGTTATGTTGGTTGTGCTCTGCCACTGAGCCACACCTTCAGCTCTTAGAGTTTTTTGAAGTTTATAGTTTTAATTTTTTCTAGTTGGGTGATTTATGTTAATATAGGGTTATTCCTTTTTGATGAATTAAAATGAATTTTAATTTTATATGGTAAGTTTCAATACATATGCAAGGGCTCTTTTTGGTTCTCAAGTTTTTTCCCTTCTGAGGACTGAACTTAGGGCCTCGGTGGACGCTAAGTGTACATTCTCCCGTGAGCTATACCCTCACACAGTAGTAGTCTTCAATTTTTAAGATGTAAAAGTGTCCTGAGGAAAAAAAACCTGGGGACTGCTGTTCTCAAGGATGAAATATGATTAATTGTTTTTGTTATGTATTTTTACTGGTACCAGGGATCGAACTCATGACCACAGGCTTGCAAGGCAGGCGCTTATGCTGCTAAGCTAAATCCCCAGCCCCTAAATATGATTAAATTTTTTAAAAATGCTTTAAAAAGAATTCAACTACTTTGGTATTCTTATTGCTTTAACCTTAAAAGAATAGCCCATGTTAAGTTGATTGTGGACCGTGGATCTGTTGGAAGTTGGTGACTGAATTACAATGGCTTTATGTTTCTGTCTGGCACAGCAGTTCTGCTCTACTCCTAGGCTAAGTGTGGGAGGTCAGGGGGGTGTCCTCCTGTGTACACCTCAGCTCCCAGTGACCGTGCTTCCCTTCTCTTTCTGACTGTATATTTAGTTGAATTGCTAACTAAGGTTGAGTCTGGAAAGGAAACCACAAATGAGAAACTGCCTGTCTGATACTCTGCCTTCCCTGGTACCTGAGTCATGTGCGTGTCCTGGTGACATCTACTTCCTGTCCACTGTGCTCTTTCCACACTGGAGTGCTGGCTGTGCTGCCACTGCCCCTTTCTCCTCCAGTCCTTAGTGAGTTAACTTTGGCTCATGTGGTGTTAATTTGTGTTTGAATAAGAGAGCAATCAAAGTCAAATGCAAAAGCTCTTTCTTGACATAGGAGACAGTTATGACAGTTACTTCAGAGGTTTTTCCTTATAGGAGCTCAGGGGTGTGAACCTCTCAGGCTATCATAATGGCAGTGGCATCACAATTTAATCCCAGTGACTGCCTCGGAAGAACTGCTTGTTCCTGCTGTCCTTTACCTTTACAAATTCTGTTTCAAGGAAGTTGAAGTTTAAAGATAAGAAGTCACCTGTTAGCAGTTATCTTGGAAAATGAAATTAACAATGGCTGAGACTTTCTACTGCCAGATTTTCTAGTAAAATACTATGGAATGAGTTATGATTCCCAGAATTTTATGCAGAGTAAAAGAATTTTCTGAATCTTTCTTTAAAACACAGCATAATAGGTAAGAGATAGCTTTCACTTGCCTTCATTCCCTGACTCCCTGTAGAGACGTTGTGGGTTCAAGAGCAGAGCATTCGGTAGGTATTGGGAAGCCAGGGTTCCAGTCCTCACTGTTACATGTGGGGTGTAAACTAAGCCACTGAGCCTTCCCTGCTCCCCTAAGAGCAGGAGTCTGGAGAGAGTGGTAGGGTTAGTCTTGAGTCTGTGACTGTAAAGAGTGCAGGCACAAAGCTGAGCATGATAACACATACCTATAGCCCTGGCTGCCTTGGAGGCTGAGGCAGGAGGATTGCAAGCTCAAGCCAAATCTGGGTAACTTAGCAAGACCCTGTTTCAAAATTAAAAATAAACAAAGAGCTGGGGACATAGCTCAGTGAGAAGACCCGGAGTTCAATACCTAGTAACCTAGCACCCCCTCCCCTCACACACAGATTGCAGGAAAAAAATCATAAAAGAATAATACCCGTACAATACAGGACTTTCAGAGGCCCCCTCAGTCACCTACCTATTCTAATTAAAAATAGAAATATACCTCTTGTGACAATTGCCTGTAAAATAGGAAACCGTGGCTAGGCAGTGGATAGTTTCGGATAGGGATGTAGCAAAAGCTGCTTGTCAAATGAGGAAAAGTGATGTAAATGGACAAGCTAGGTGCTGTCTGTTGGACTCTCTGGGTCCTTTGCGAGGTACTTCTCCCAAGGGGTACACAGAAATCATTTAAAGGAAAGTACATGCTAGGCTTGGGATTCTGCTGTGACTAGAGTTAAACCCGTCTGTACGCTCACACTGAAGCGGTAACATACCGTAAGGTATACGCACACAGAGCTGTCCTTACACACAGCACATACTCATTGCTTTCTCTGTACCATCTTTTGAACTCTGTCTTATTTTCCTCACCTAAAGTGATGGCTATATATGCTCTTATTTTCTATTACCATGTAAAGTATAGTGTTGGTTAGGTAAGGTAAGGCACACCACTGACTGTTAGGCACTGAGCTTAACACACAGTAAACACATATCTATTACTGATGTTACAGTATTGGGATTATCAGCTGGCTTTATATGCCTAGTAGGAATTGTTTTATAATGGTGTAGATCTGAATCTATTTACTGTATGCATGCACATTTTTTGAAATAATGCTTTATCCATCTGGGAAGAACAAAAACTAAAAGAGAAGTGATTATTACCACTATCAAATGCATTACAGAGCTTAGAACAAAGAGGCAATTAGGTTTTCTTAACTAAATGTTACATATTCTGAATTCCTAGAATGGTACCCATACTCCTTTCCCCAAGCAAATATATCACCAGTGAAATGAAGGAGGGAGACAGATTTTGAAGATGAAAGAATTACTTCTATTCCTAGTCTTACAAATAAACTCAAGAGTCCTGAAGCCCCCGTCCCTCGCTCCATTCACCGCTCCGGTGAATATGGATTGTATTCTGAGAGGCAGCTGCTTCATTGTGATCGTTTTTGATGCTCTTTGTAGCACAACTAGGAATTATTACAATAAAAGTTTTATCAGCCAGACATAGTGGCACATGCCTGTAATTCTAGCCACTAGGAAAGCGGAAGTAGGAGCTGAAGTTTGAGGCCAGCCTGAATGGTTTAGTGAAAATCTGTCTCAGAATAAAAAGGGAAGAGAATGTAACTCAATACTCCTTGGATTCAAATCCCAATACTGCCAAAAGTGGGGGAAAAAACCAAAACAGAATTCTTACCTGTAACATTCTGTCCTTAAATTTGAGACAAGAAGCAAGCCAATAGTTTTAGATTCTTCACTTAAATTTCCCTTTTAATTCTGAGATTAAGCCATTGGATATGTCATAGGATCTGGCTTTAACATCAGGTATGGTTTTATTTTGCATTATGATCAATGAGTCATTAGCTCATTGAGTTATAAGGAAGAAAATATAAGCCAGGTATGGTGCCCTGCTGGTTATAAAGCAAGTATGTATTTTTACTGCCATACTGATTTTCACATGACAGTGTGATTTTGTACCAGGAATGGACAGGTTTTTCACATCCTTACCAGTGTTGTCAGTCTTCTTAATGTTAGCCATTAAATAAACATGAAATGGTATTTCATAGGGCCAGGGGTTTAGCTCAGCCGTGTAAGTGCCTGCTTAGCAAAAGTGAGGTCGCAAGTTTGATCCCCGGCACCAAAAAAGAGAAATGGTATTTCATTTTCGTTTGGGCTCACATTTCATTGCTTCTTAGTGATATTGAAGGTATCTTTCCTTGTGCTTAGGTGACTGTGGATATTTGTATATTTC